ACTCAGCTCGTCGCCCAGATTACATATATATGTATATATATATACCCGAGGAACAAGGCAGTTTATATTTTCGGCAAATTGTTTTAATCGAAGACACACGACAAAAGCATCAACACAAACAAGAACCCACTGAAGCAGCAACAAAAAATTAAGTAAGCCGCAACAACTTCAGGCGTCAACAATAGATATTTAAATATCTCCTCAGCCTCTCATAAGCTAACAATAATAATGATAACATCAACAATTTAATGTTATAATTGAAATAGCAGCAGAAAAGTTATTAATAATAATAATAATAAAAAACTGATTAAAAAAAGTCGAACAATTGCGTAAATTACTTCATTTCCCAGTTTAATCCAAACCAAAATCGAAGCAAAAATTTAAAACAGAAATAATATATAATCTAATTGCTGTGTCTACATGATAAAATACTGAAAAAAACTAAAGAGTGTGCATTTCAATTAAAACTTGCCTTGTTTTAAGGAACAGATGATAAGCGTAGTATATGACTATAATCCGCTACATAAATTCGCAAGCTGCCTAGTTGAACATCTAGTTGCATCAAAGAATTTTTCGCCAGCGAGCGTTATGCTAACCAAATATGTAATATGATGATTATTCGCACAAGCTACCTAAATTGGTTAATAAGTTAATTGGCAAAAATAAAAGAAAAAAAAGAGAAAAAAAAAAAAACGTTGTGAAATTTACCGAGTACTAAACTATAATTACAATTAAATGTTAGTTGTTAGCATGCAAATTAAATACAATATATGCAAAAATCTCTTTAAGATCAGATCTATGATATGATATGCTAAACTGTGTGTAAGCGCTGTCAAATTAATTTTTCAAACTGTATGTTCTTATGCATAATGCTGCGGCCTCTGTCCAGTGACCAACAAAAATAACACCAATCCTAACGAGCCTATTTGTAAATCCATGTGTTGTTGACCTAGTTTGTATACTTCGAATTGAGGCTCATTGCAATGGGTATTCATTTAAGTAACAACCTCTCCCCACACGCCCACATATGCCCCACTATATGCATAATTATTAGATTCTAAAACACCTCATAACTGCCATTTGCAACTCGCTAAATCGTAACAATTTGATACACTCTCTAGTGTCTTGGCTGGCAAGAGGCATTATCCACTACTTAGTTTTAGTATTAAGCGTATATTTACAATCGATTGTTCTATAGAATATGTTTTTAACTTGCTGTTCCTTTTGCTATGACCCTCCACTTTTGCACTTTGTGTGTTAGACCATGATTATATCGTACAATGATAATGATGATATTGATGATGCTCGGAGCATCATCTAGATCTTTATGGATAATCCCCTATAGCAGCATGTTGATTTTCTTTTTTGTTTAATTAATTTAATACATATTAAAATTGTAATCAATAATATTGCGATCCTTTTAAAGCTCTATTATATAGAAACCACAAGAAAAATGAACAATTGCAAACAACAAAATGAAGCAAATGATAACAATTTACCTTATAGATTTCAAATATCAATAAATGGAAAATGTAACAAAACATGTATGGAATTTCTTTTTGGCTTGGGGGAGGGGAGGAGTATATAAATATTTTTTATCTGTTGAGAATTCAATTATTTCTGAAAATTTTATATAATTAAATCACAAATATATTTTTATTTCTCAAATTTTTATTAATTTGTTAATATCTATTAAATTTAATGACTTAAGCTTAGTGATTAATTAAAGATTTCCAAAATTATTGCATCTTTTATAATCGTTTTCGATTTTTTGTAAAGCGACTCCAAGTGTCGTAAGGCATTTTATTACATACACAAATCTTCGTTTATATATACTTTATTTATTGTAAGACTATAACCATTGCAATTTTAAATTGTTTTGTAAAATTTGCATAATTTGACACACAAGTTATTTAAAAAAATACTTCTATAGACAATAATAATAATATTAAACCACACACAAATACAAAGTGTCTATATAGAGTGTAAAATTAGAGACCAGCACATAGAACAAAATGCAGATACAAGTAAAATACGAGGCGTTATTTACATGGAAATGTGAACTTAACTTAATTATTTTGCGTATGCGTAAGCCGTGTATATATGTATGTAGAATATGTAAAAGGGAATTGTTTTGTGGTGTATACGTTATGTATATATAGATTTATGTTTTTTTGTATAGGGAATACTAAGGGGCATTTCTATGATGGCTTCAGCTTCATTGTGATGCAACGTGGCTGTTCCATGGAATTGCACAAGAATTGTATATATGATGATTGGACATTTCAGAGTTGAATTTAATTGCCGGACGTATGGCTGTGTACGTTCTTAAAATCTTGCGTTTGAGTAGTGCTGCGCAACACTTCCAACCACCTGCAACAAAATCGGAATCATTAATAGGGCTCATTGTCGATGGCATCTTCAAGTCAACTCACCTGTTGTAGGTGTGAGCGCTCTCTGCTCTGAAGAAGTACACGTGATTCTTGAAGGACAGCTTGAAGACAAACTCCTTTTGAACAGCATCCTGATGGCCGGGCGGACCCACCGTATAGCCCAGCAGCGGTAGGCTAGCCAGCGCAAACTCATCCTGATAGCTTTTATAGAAATACAAACAGAACGAAGTGAAGACCACCCAGAGCTTCTGCCAGCCGGAGCTATTCTTAAATTTACGCAGCAGATAGCCGGACAGCTGATTCTCTGCCGCAATGAGATGATCGCCCAGACCAACGGTGGCGCCACGATGCCAGCAGACGTGTAGTGCGGTATTGCTTCGTGACGGCTGTGTCTTGTTTTGCTGCTGCATCTGAAGCTGTTGCGGAGTCAAGGGGCCTGCGCCACCTACACTGCTGTTCAGGCTGTTTGTGCCGTTGGTTAGTCCCAGCATGTCCAGACCCTCCTCCGACGAGCCTAAGAAAATTACAGAGAGAGGTAGATCAGTTTAAATCGAGGCTATGCATACAGAGAAAGGGAGTTACGGGGTTCTTAATGCCTTACGATGCTTTGCAGCGTGCTTTTCTTGCCAGCCATAATGAGAGTAGAGAAAGATAAAAGATAGAGATGTTGAATGGTGAAGTAAAGAGAATGATAAACAGTAACATGAGATTACGCAAAACAGAATTATCTTAATTAAAATGCTCTCTTAATTGAGCGGAAGACGGAAATAGAAAATATATCTAAAATAATAAACACATCCATAAGAAATAATTAAAGAGAACCTGTGAGTATTCTCTCAGTCGTCATAAAGGAAGAAAAATCACAGCATATTGCATCAAAGAGTATGATATTCCTATTAACAGGTCTGTCAACTAATGTTATATAAAAACAGACTGACAATCTGAACACCTGTATATAGGCGTGACTCTGTATTTAATTCAACAGAAATTTATATTGATCCTCTGTTGCTAAAGATGGTTATGAAATCAGAGCTAATATATAGTATATACTATATATTAGCTCATAGTATATGCCCACGCCCTGTAAACCATTTGTGATACTCACTGCAATTCTTGAGTGTGGTCAGCTGCAACTGCATGTTTGGTGGTCTGTTCTTGATGTCGGCGGCCGCCTTGGACAGCTCGGCCAGCCAAAGGGTCTTCTCGGCGGTGGTGCCAGCACTCACCGTGATGGCGCACTGTCCGCCAAATATGGAGAACGTGTTGTGTTCGGCGTTCTCGGTGAGCAGCGAACGGACGGGCACATGGCCAAGTATGCGGAAACTTTGATCGATCGGCGATTTACTGCCGTAGAGCAATATGTCTGAGAAGAGGAAGAACATGCGCTGCTGCAGGCCGCGCTTCGAGTGCTTCAGTAGGCAGCCCTGACGAATGAGTCTGCGATGCGGCTGTACTAGTTGCTCAAAGCTAATGTCGCGCTGCAGCTCGCACAGCTCCACAAAATTGGCCGAGTCTGGCAGCTGGGCGCGTATCTGCTTGGTGCTGCGGATGAGCAGATGATAGACTGCCTGGCAGTCGGCATAGTCGATATGCTCTTCGGCATAATAGTCACAGAGGCGTTCCAGTATCAGCTGATAATGCAGCAGGCGATTCAGTGGCTTCAATAGCAGCTCGCCAATTGGTAGATAGCAGATCTTCTGCTGTTCGAACTCTTTGTAGATCTGCTGGAATCGCTGGTCCGACTCATACATGTCGTTCAGACAGTGAAGGATATCCATATGCGTTTGCACATACTCATCGTAAATGGGCAGCGAGCCCATGTGCTTCATCATAACGTCGCCAATGCGATGGGTATCGTGATTGCCACGCCCCTCCCACGTGACCATGCGGTGCTCGATGTCGCGTAGGAAAAGATTATGGTGCTGTGCCAGCGAATCGAGCAGCTCGAACAGCGGCTGCAGCTGCTCCACATCCTCTACGCTAAGCACCTGCCGAAACGAGGTGTTTAGCACATCCAGATCCTTTTTGTAGGTGCGCTCCGTCATAAGCAGCTCTTTGGCTAGGAAGTAGCT